TATATATATATATATATATATATATATATAAAGATATTAGTATTTATACACCACCTAAATATCAACCCCCAAAATCTCATGTATAAATAGCCTGTGATCCCTCCTCTTTCCCTCCCCTTCTCCTTCCACATTTCTACGAAATCTTAAGGGGCAATCTTTCCAAAGCACAAAAGAAGGAAGAAGACACGAATATAAGTTCAGGCAAAATTCCTCAAAAACCTTATTTTCTACCTCCAAGAAAAGCATTACACAAAACGTCAATATGGATTATCCTAAATTTGTGGTTGGAAGACTCAGAGGCTGAGCTCATGGCTCAATCCTTTGGCCTCCCCTCCACCCTTCAACTTTTGCCAACGTTGATTGAACCAGCCCAGAACCATGCCCGCCCTCCCATCTCAAATTTCCATGTTAGCGCCATTGGCCTTGGCTCCGATGGTCGCGTCTTTCTAGGCGTTAACCTTGAGTTCCCTGACCTTCCCCTTCACCATACTGTCCATGCCGAGCAGTTTTTACTCCTCAACCTCGCTGTCCATAACTGCTCTCGCCTCGTAGCTTTCGCGGTCTCTGCTGCACCTTGCGGCCACTGTAGACAGTTTCTTCAAGAACTACGCAACTCTTCCACTCTCCAAATCCACATCACGTCTCTGCAGAACAATAATCCTGATATTACATTCAAGCCTTTGGCTGAATTATTTCCCTACCCGTTTGGTCCATTTGATCTTTTGGACGAGGAAACTCCTTTGCTGCTCGAGCACCATCATAATAGTTTATCTCTGTCTATAGTAAGAAAATTGACCTTAGATCTAACTCAACCCCAAAAAACTGGTTAATGGGGTGAGGATTGTTCAGGATCAAATAAGCGAGACCATTTCCAAGAAGGGCAATTAGGCTTCAACTTCATGATAATTACTTAAACTTCTTTGCATGACTATAATCTGCAATCATAGATTGGCATTGATGTCATCAGTCAAGCCTAATGGTGAATAAATGAATGAATGAAGAAACAAAACTGGATCCACCTCTACGTCATTTTCCTGCCTCGATCAACAGTGCTTAACATTTCAATATAAACTTGCAAAAATATCTTACTGGTTCTTTGCTTTTAAAAGAAAGCACTTTTTTTTGTAATTATAGTTATTTGATTTACGTTTCTTTATTTATCTTCCTGATTAAGCAAATTTTATATAGGGTGTACAATATTTAAGAGTAATGTCTTGTACACTTTACAAAAGTGTCTGTTGAATATGCAGTTACTCTGAGTAGATTGCATGTCGAAGGGTACTTTTCTCTGTTTTCTTTTGCTCTCTTTTTAAGTTAATCAAAAAGAGGAAAAAGCTTCTTTGAGTAGATTGGATGTCAAAAGTGTCTGTTGAATATGCAGTTACTTTTCAGGATCACACTCATTGGTAGGGGTGTACATAGGTCGGGTTGCTTCGGATTTTTCAATTACCAAACCAAACCAATGGTATCGGGTTTTTAAATCTATAAACCAAACCAACAAAATCGGGTTTTTCAATCTCGGTTTTTCTCGGGTTTTTCAGTTTTTTTCGGGTTTTCGGGATTTTTTTTGGTAAAGTTTTTATAGCACAAAATATGTAACTTGTGCTCTAAATATTTCTTTAGTCTTATTAAGATACAACTATATATTGTATTTTTCAAGAAAATAACACAATAATATGAGATAAGTCATAACATTATACTAAAATATTCAATACAAAGATAATAAAATTGCATAAAGCAAATATTGTTAATTAATAAGCCATAATAAAAATAAACATAATCTAAATATACTATATATCTCATGCTAAAATAAGTATAGCTAATATGTACTTTTAATCACATAAATAAGCAGTAAAGAAAAACTAAATTAAGTTATGCATTTTCATCATAAACCAGTGTAAATTAAAAAATAGATATCCAACACTATCATCATATTCCTAGTGTTGAATTGAGTTTCTTTTGTTAGCATTAGTATTGATTTGAACTTTGTTTGAGTTACTACATTTATGGGCCATAAAATTTATTTATCATTCAAGAATGTTAAGTCCAAACTTGAAAGAATACGTTAAAAGATGAAATTGTGAAAAAGTTTAAGAAATATTTATAAATTACATTACAATAAATATCTATATGTATAAAATATTTTTAAAAATTATATAAATGTAATATCGGGTTGGTTTGGTTTCGCTTTGACTTTTTTTAGTTAAAATCAAACCAAACCAATTATGGATGGGTTTTCTTTTCCAATACCAAACCAAGTCAAAACAAACCACAATCGGGTTTTTTTTTATTTGACTCGGATTATCGGTTTGGTGCGATTTAACGGGTTTTTTTTTTTATTTGACTCGGATTATCGGTTTGGTGCGATTTATCGGTTTTCTTTGTACACCCCTACTCATTGGCAAGGAAAAATATGCCTTAGAGCCTTGATGTGACATTGAAGCGCCCGCAAAGCGAGGCAAGGTTTGTTGAATTCATTCGGAAAACCTATTGAATTGATGCTGAGAATCGGGAATAGTTGCTGCTTCGAGGAGCTCGTACTGGGCATTGTTGAATCCTCTACTGCTGGGTTCTTTGCTGAGATCAATTGTGTTAATCTGCTTGACTAAAGTTGATTGGAGCTTAAAGCATTGCTTCAGTACCTTGCTGTGAGGATTGAATTTTAAGCTTAAAGCATTGCTTCAGCATCTATTAATCCAAGTGTAGTGGTAAAATTGCTGAACTTGAATCGTTTCTAGCTCGGTGAAATCGACTCCACCATTGATGCTGAACTCAATTGGCTTTTAGTTGTTTTGGGTTAACCCGGATAGGTCAGCTATTTATGGGTCTAACGCCACGTGAATCAATACATCAGTGACACCTATTTAATTAAAGGACCCACATTTGCCATCTTATAGTTCTGATAGAAAGAGGGGCATTTTTAACCAAAAGATTAAAGTAAAGGTCAATTTTGGCCCAATAGGTAGGAGGAGGACAAATTTAAACCATTTCCAATACGTTAGGGGCATTTTCGACACTTTTTCTGTAAAATATAAGTTGTGTCACTAAATTGGATGACAAGGTACAAACCAGAAACTCATACTGCCAAATGAAATGAGAAGAAGCATATTATTACCAGGCAGTCCAGCCACCAAATTGGTCAAAGTGAACTGCAAAACCAACATGCCAAACAAGTATTCACTCACAGATATTCGCGAGAATCACAGCCATTTGAAGGAGCTGAAGCTCAGGCATTGAACTTTCCGGTTGGAGGAACATCCCCTCTCATTACTCTCCAAGGGCCACCTTAAAACATTGGTTTCATTTGAGGCACTGCTTCCCCAGGATGTTCTTCCCAGTATTTCTCCTGTCAGAATGAAGAGACAAAGCTTCTATATTAAGACAAAATTTTAGAAGAAAAAAAAAACAGACATCACTGAAAAGCAAATCTTTTGATCCTCCATGCATAACCCCAAGCCTCTTATGTTGATCAGAAGAATTTACATCTCTCATAATAGTCTTCACAAGTGGAAATGGGTCATGATCTTGAGCAATGAAAATTCATTCCATGTAGCAGATAAATACCAAAAAAAGAAAAAAAAAACGATTAATCTAGTCTTACAAGAAAGGATCAGCAAAAAGAAAGAGAACCAACTTGAATAGCAGAGACATGAAAATGCGAATAATCCTCCTACTTTGACTGCATTGTGGTAAGACAGAAGAGATAGTACGTTGTGGTAAGACAGACATTCACTCCTTGACTTGTACATTATAATCATAGTGGTAAGAAGAGATAGTACGTTCGCAGTCAAAGTTAGCGTACAGAATAGACAATAACACTGACGAACTTCCTTATATGGAGTTAGTAGGATACAGATTCTATTATCTTTTTTTTCTGATCTTAGCTTACNCCCAAACCCATCTTTCAGCAAGCCACTACTTTCAACTTCTGAAGCTACTATTACCCAAATGTGTTGATGTAACGACCCGACCGGTCGTTTTGAGCATTTGTATTTCACTCGGTTGTTTGAGAGCATGAGTAACTCCGTATGATGTATTATGACTTATGTGAATCGTCGGTTTTGGTTTTCAGGTCATTCGGAATTGATTCAGAAGAATGATTCTCAGCTAGAAGCTTCAAACTAGAAAGGTTTGACCAAGTTTGACTTTTTAGTAATTAACCTCGGATTGGATTTCTGATGGTTCTGTTAGCTCTGTTGGGTGATTTTGAACTTAGGAGCGCGTCCGGATCGTGATTTGGAGGTCCGTGGTAGAATTTGGCTTGAAATGGCGAAGGTTGGAATTTTGAAAAGTTTAACCGAGAGTGGACATTTTGATATCGGGGTCGAATTCCGATTTCGGAAGTTAGAGCAGGTCCGTAATGTCAAATGTGACTTGTGTGCAAAATTTGAGGTCAATCGGATGTGATTTGATAGGTTTCGACATCGGTTGTGGAAGTTGAAGTTTCAAAGTTCAATGATTTCGGATTGAAGTGTGATTCGTCGTATCGATGTTGTTATGTGTGTTTTGAGACCTCGAGTAGGTTCGTGTTATGTTATGGGACTTGTTGGTATGTTGGGACGGGGTCCCGAAGGGCTCGGGCATATTTCGGATTGATTTCGGATCATTTTCTTCAATGTTGCTATTGCTGGTTCTGGTGTGACCGCACCTGCGGTTGGTATGCACACATGCGGTGGTCGCAGGAGTGAAAATAGTGTTGGGTGAGGAAGACCGCAGAAGCAGAGATTTGGGCGCATATGCGGATTCGTAGGTACGAAGTGATGGAGCGCATGAGCGAGGTTTTTCGCAGGTGCGAATGGTGGCTTGCACCTGCGATGTCACAGAAGCGGATATGTTGTCCGCAGGTGCGAGGGTCGAGTCCTCAATTGATTCCGCAGAAGCGGAGGTTATGTCGCAGAAGCGGCTAATGTGCCTGCATATGCGGAATTGCTTGGCAGAATGTTAAATACAAGGGTTCGCGGTTTTGGCTTCATTTTTACATTTCCAAGTGCGGATTGGGGCGATTTTGAAGCAATTTTCATCACAAGGATTGGGTTTTGAGCCGTTCGGAGGTCGCAAGGCGCGTGATGGCATTCTTAGAGCATCGCTTGGCTTGCTCGGTGTCGGAATTGACTTGTTTAAGATAAGTAACTCTTCTAAACTTAGTGCTGAGGGTATAAAACCCCAATTACGGGCTAGTGATTGATGTTGAGGTGACCCACATGCTAGGTGACGGGCATATGGGCGTGCACCCTGTGAATTCTAACTCTGTTGTCTTTAGGGCACTGTATAGTGGCCCTACTTTGTTGATATCTGTGTTTTCCCCCATGTGATAAAGTAATTGAGCTGTACATCATGCTAGATATCCTGTGTAGGCTTTATGCCGATATTGTTGGGGCCATAGTGGTCGTTTTTTTTGCTGTCATCTTACCGATTTCATTGGTATTTCGTACTCAGTCATATTCATGCATTCATATCATATCTCAATCTCAGTTGTTATTTATTGATACATCATATCATTGTTGACGGGTTGGTTTCATGACATTGAGAGCCCGAGAGACTGGAGAGATTGATGACTGAGTGAGGCCGAGGGCCTGATGATGAGGATGTTTATGGGATCGGGCTGCACGCCGCAGCATGTTTTATTGATTTATGCTTGAGTGAGGCCGAGGGCCTGATGATGAGGATGTTTATGGGATCGGGCTGCACGCCGCAGCATGTTTTATTGATTTATGCTTGAGTGAGGCCGAGGGCCTGATTGATTTATGCCATGATTGGCTTGTTATAGCGCTTGGGCTGAAGGAGCCCCTCCGGAGTCTGCACACCCCCAGTGAGCACAGGTATCTACTGAGTGCGAGTGCCAAGTGCCGAGTGCCGAGTGATTGGGAGGATTGAGTGACTGTGAGGACTGAGTGGCTGTGAGTACTGAGTGACTAGGAGGACTGAGTGAATTGATACTCTGCGAGGATGCATACGGTTTTATTGCTGAGTCGCATCGCATTTGACATGCACATGACATACAGACATAGAGATACATTTTCCTCATGATGTATGGTATCACGTCATTCATGACTTTTTACACACATTGATATGTGGTTATAGAGATGTATTTCACACTTGTTATTTAGAAAGGAAATGAAACATTTTCATTTATTGTGGAAAAGATTTTTCAGGAAAATTACAGTTTTCAAAATATCTCATAATTTTTCGATGATTTCGATAAAGGATTTGGGTTTTCATTGATATTCTTGAAAAGCGGAACTATTTTCGGAAAACTGTGAAAAGGCTGAGCACTTTATCTCTGAGCTATTTATTTATTTATTTGCTTTACACTATTATGAACTGCTATTGGTTATTGGTGTTGGACCCGACCTATGTTCCAGCTCGTCACTACTTTCAACCTGAGGTTAGGTTTGTTACTTTTTGAGTAGATGGGGACGGTTGTACTCATACTGCACATTGCGTGCAGATCCCGGAAGCCGATGTTGCTGCATTCGATGGATGCTGGATTTGAAAGCGTACCTGCGTTCCTGCTGTAGCTACCTCTTGTTCACGGTAGCCTTAGATTATAAAATTCTGTTTATGTACTTTTCAAACAGAAGATGTATTTTCTTCATATCAACTTTGTAAACTCTATTCTTAGAAGCACATGATTTGTATTACTAGTCCTTAGGAAATGTAATAGATCCAGATAATTTATTTTGTTTAATTGACTTATTAGCATTATTGAAATTTGATAGTTACTAGTTGGCTTACCTAGCGGATTAGGTTAGGTGTCATCACGACTAGTGGATTTTGGGTCGTGACAATCAAAAAGAAAGGGCAAGTGTTTAACAGATCATTATAACAGATACGAGTAAAACATGTAAGCATCAGTAATGAAATTGATACAGTGTTAACCCAATGACCTGATGCCACCATACCTTATAGAGTTGCTCAGTGACGACTGCCCCGATAACTCCAGTATAAAATGCACAGATGTAGATTGTGACCAGAGGAGTAAATGATCTTCGTCTCCTGTATGGTTCAACCATGTCACAAAGAATTGTCTTTTCCCATTTTGAGTATACATAATCTGCATATTTCCTCCCCAAATACGTTACCATGTTCACAAGATTTTTACTTTACCAGCTCAACTGCACTAATGGAACAAGAGGTTAACTTGTATACAGATATGACTGTTGTCATGCATAAAACAGTAAGATAGTTCACAAATCACAAGGTATACTTTCTTTTTAAAGAATTTCAGAGTTTGACAACCATAATAACTGGTTACTATGAAAAGATGTATTGACAAGGGTTAGTAAAAGTAATATAAGGAACCTATACTACTGGAGGAACATTTGCAAGAGAAAAGAAGGAGAGTAGCATTTTAGCAACATAGGGAGATCTGTCAAGGAGGACAAATGCTAACAATACAAGACCTTTTCTGCTGCTGTTGCCTATCTCCACATTATCACCAGCCACTCAAGAGGTAAACATATTTTCCTTAATTGTAGTCAATCAGTTTACGTTAAATCCAAGTGATATCCATCTTTTATGCTATGTTAATATCTCCACTAAACTTATTGAATATGATTGCTGCTCAATAACAGTGAGACCATCTTTTGGTCATAGGAAACGTTTTTATCATTAGCTAATAACCATTCATTTGTTTGTCTCTGTATTTGAACTAAATAGATTTTGTCTTACTACCAGCAGAACAATAGGACACATAAGAATATTAAAAATGGAGATCAATTCAATCAGCACACTAAGCTCCAGTAACAGTGAAAGAACCAACCAACACGAAAACTAAAATCTGCAAAAGAAAACTTGGAAGACGTTCTAATCATTCAAAATTATTATTATACACTAAGTAATAATTATTCAACATATCAAAACCCCAAGGGCGGTGGGATTTATACGGATTTTAGGGATAATCTAATATTAACTAGTTTCAAACGCTGAGATCAAAGAGGGTTAGAAATTGAAAACGGTTGTTTCAACAATAAGAAGGAATTGACAAATGACCGTATTCTCTGACTATTTTCTCTATATAAGAGAAGTGTTCAGATAATTGATTATTAGTACGTAATAACAAAAGGCTGATTTGTAATACTCATTATTTCAGAGCGAATGCCAGCGGAAGCAAATAAGAACGAGTTTCAACTTCTAAACTCAAATTATTCTCTTTTGTCCCCTTTTCTATAGGACAAATTTTCAGATAACTGATGACTAACACCAAATGAAGATAAGTAATAACCCATAATTTCAGAGCCAATATCGCATTTGAAGCAAAGAAGAAAGCATATCAACCTGTAAATGTGACTAACAACTGTTATAACTCAAATCTTTTATGAACCTAATTCGCAATCACGTTATCTAACTACAGGATCATTTGAAGAAGGGGGTAGGGTTTCTGACAGAGAGTAGAGAATGGAGGAACTTACAAGCTCGATTTTGTTAGACAGAGATATCTCGAGGGGTTCACAGCAGTCAGCAGCCCCATAGTGTTGTTTAACCCAAAATTGATTTTAAAAATAGCCATTAGCAATTAGAATTATCCAAAGTTTGCGTAATAAAATTGTTTATGTTATAAAACAATAAAGAAGCAGCACCATAGTGTTGTTTAACCCAAAATTGATTTTAAAAATGCATTAGCAATTAGAATTATCCAAAGTTTGCGTAATAAAATTGTTTATGTTATAAAACAATAAAGAAGAATATTGCAAAGAAATAGAGATAATCCTTATTGATTTGGAATCAATTACAATATAATAGAATCCCTTTAGGAAAAAGTGACTTAGAGCCCGTTCGGCTTAGCTGATTTAGAGTAGCTAATAAGCATTAGATGCTGAAAAGCACTTTTAAGTGCTGAAGCTGATTTAAAAAATAAGCAGTTATGTGTTTGGATAAAAGTGTTGAAATTAATAATAAGCAGCTAAAGAACTGGGTGTACGAAAAGTTTGTTTTAAAAAGAAGTATTGTAGGGATAGAATAGTAAATATTTTGGTCAAACTTAAAGTGCTTATAAGCTGAAATTTGATAAGTTGGGGGAGACCAACTTATGACTTTTGGCTTATTTTTTTACTTATAAGCACTTTTAATTTACAAAACGCGTAGATAAGCCAAAAAGTGTTTATAAGCCAGTTTGACCAGCTTATAAGCTTAGCCAAACACCTTCTTAGTCACCAAGTAACAAACTCTAGAATATCTCTACCCTAGAATCTCTCTAGAATATAGACATTCAGCTTAAATATAATTCTATTTATAACACTCCCCCTTGAATGTCTACAGATAATGTGTCTCGTTAAAATCATAACTAAATAAAACCCAGTGGGAAAAAAATTCTAGAGAAGGAAAAAGAGTACACATATCTAACAATACGTCTTTTGGTTGCCTCGTTAAAAACCTTGCAAGGAAAATCAGTGGGACAAAACCTTGTAAGGGAAAAAAAGTACAACGCATATTAACTCCCATTGATAAAAGCATCAATTCACATCATTAAGCCTTCACATTCTAATCATGTGCATCATCTTTAAAAGATCGTTGGTAGAGAATTGATAAACAAATCGGCCATATTAACTTGAATGAATATATTGCACCTTGAAATCATCATTCTTGATAGATATATAATGTCTTCATATAATGTCATGGAATGGTTGTTCAATATCTCCATAAAGGTATTCTCGCTATCACGTTATCATGCTTATAGTTATAGCAAGATATATATGTGCACAAATTGCATTGAGGATGTGGTACTTCAAGATCAAGAATTGTATATGCTTCAAGTTTCTAAAATATTTCAGGGATTATCATATATGTATAGTCAAATAAGCCATACAAATAGACTTTAGATTTGTATCAAATTTTCATGTCATTCCAGACATATAAGATACATGAAAGTGATTGCACACACCATTGACTTTATACTTTCGAGTATTGAACTACATGTCTAAAACTACATTTTTNCATTCATATATTCAGGTACCTGAATCTCTCATGAGATTTTATGAAGTGTTATGTCATGTGATCTGGTCCAGATCACTTGCCTCCTTTATTATGATCATTTTGATCATTTGCTCATCTTCTTTATCAAGAAGTTTATTTGAAACCGATTTGTATGCTTTAAGCGTACCATAGACTTTGTCCTTCTTAGGACTTAACAGGAGCATTTGTAATGAGAATATAGTTACTTTCTTTGGGCCAGCAAATGCATCTAGCATGCTTTGCAATATATTGCAAATGAATTATCCTTTTATGAACTCAAGTTCATATTATTTTATTCGAGGATCTAGATGTAGACATATTAATTCATTCCACGTAACTCTTTGTCAACTGTTTATCATGTCTCCCCCTCCTGTTAGAAAAACTAACTTGTTTCCTCAACTTTGAGAACTCATCTTTGTGCGTTATGGTGTTAATAAAAATATACACCACACATCAATAATAATAAGATGAAATTATTAGGTTCCTGGCCCTGAACCACTTATGAGGGGAGAAAATAATATACTTTCATATATAACGTATATCAAATTGATATATATAACTTTGTTCTCATAAGAAATAGTTTAGCAATTAAGTGGAGGCACTCAATAAATTATTTTGCTAAATCAACTGTGGTGTAAACCAACTTATCAAGATGAATTGTCTTGAATAGAAAATCTAAAAATTATGCTCTAAATTTAATTTGAGCAAGTTACCTCGCAAACATCAGGTAACTATCTCATAAATGCAATCTTATGCGGTATACATGGAAGGTGAATAGGCCTATATTCACCTTTGATAGTTCCAGCATTCACGGGATTCAATCCCAATTTTAGTTGGTCTATTAATTAATGAGAACAACATAAGTGACGTACAGAATTTTCTAGTTCTTTAATATTTACCCATATGAATTCTCTTTTATTTTTGCACATCATACTTAAATCAAGATTGCTCAATATGCCATGCTTGATAAAATTGTCTGTATTAGTTAACTTCAGGTTTACATTACGATATGCGCAATTATCAATAAACTCCAAGTTTATTATGATATGGGCTTTTATATCAATAAATTTTTACTTTATTGTGGCATTCTTTTATTTATGTAGTACAAATTAGAGAATAAAGCGGGTAGCTTTTCACATACATATTGTCCCGCTACAGGTTGTATTAATAGAAGATATTAAATCTTTCCTTTATTTATAGTCTCAATATAACCAACCGCTTTCGCGAATGCTTTAGAAACTAAATAAGTTTCTTTGAGACTTACTACAACATAATGCCTTATTTGCAATCAATTTTGTCCCTCCAAAATAGTAATAACTGGCTCTTTCAGAGCTCTCAATTAATTTTGTACTACCACATATTCATCAACATCCATATGGTGAATATCTCTTTTAAAGAAAAAATTATACCATTATGGTTATAGTCAAAATTATATGCAAGATCTGTTTCTTGCATTACCGTTGTCTTTTAATAATCACATCGCCAAAAATAGTTTGGCGTACAATAGGTATGTGACCAATGACCATTTATGCCATAATAATGACATTATTTCTTATTTCCCCTCAAACCTCATTCTAGAGGTGAGTGTGGTATATTCACTACCACTAGCACGTTCATATTCCTCCAAGAATGAATATGTATTCATAAATCACATGTTGTCGCATTCACATCATGAATGAACCATAATCATCTATATATGCTTTACAAAATCTCATGTCAAATCTATGACAAATATTAATTTCACAAAGTGTGGGATTATTTTGAGAATCCTTATTGTTCTCAGTACCACAATGATGACGATTATAATTTCGTTCATTACCACGTCCACATCCATTGATACCTTCATGGTAATAATTTTGTCTTCTTTGAGACTTATCACATATTGCTATCACATTCTCTTAAGGGAATGAGAATGAAGCAAATTCAATGGGACGGGTTTTCACTTCTTGTGCTCACGATCATACATGACTTTGGTCATAGCAAGACATAGAAATTTTACCATTTCGAGTGGTTTTAATTTCTTATTGTTGGCCCAAGTAAATGTGAAGTTTTGAAGACTAACGAAAGAACTCAGACATGGACCAGGTCAATCTTGTGAAGCACAGTCGTGATCAACTCAAACATGTGAGATGCACGTGAAGGAGATAAATCTAACTTATCAGAAGTAATATCTCTTTATCTGATCGAAAAGGTTGCATATTGGATAAGGAGAGAAAGACTCTTTACACAAAGAGAACACAGTTTAGGAAGAGGATAGGGTTAGAGTATGAGATCAACTAGAACTCTTCTACCATAGAAGAGTAGCATCTGTATTCCAGTCAATCTCTACTTACTAACCCCTTAAATATCAGTGTTGTTTTCTTTTACAGGCATTGCATATATGCAGAAGTTAAACGTGAATTGAGAGCAAAATAGCAAGGCAATTTTACAAGCAATTTATGTATGATTCAAGCGTGCAATACTGAAGCTACTTGAACCAGATAGAAGAACCAATTCCAAGTGTCTATCTTTTATTCTAGTTCAATTGTAGTAGGTGATTTTACATTGTACTTTTCAGTTTTTATAGAAGCAATTGTATTAGGTACTTAGAGTTTTCAAGTTAGAGTTAACTTGAAGTTGTCGCAATAGTTGAGGTTGTGTGTCGCAAAAGGAATAGAGTTAATCCTAGGTTTACAAAAGAGTTTTCGTAAATGCAGTTTTTGGCTCAGTGATTTTAGTGGAGAGTTTGGGAAAATCCTACTGGAAAGTAGGTCGTGGTTTTTTCACCTTTTGAGCCAGGTGTTTTCCACGTAAAATACTTGTGTTCTTTATTTTCTGTACTTATCATTCCGCAACAATAGTAGTTGGAACACATAGAAGAACCGGGTACTTCTATAATCAAGTTAAGCAAAAATTGGGTACCACACAAATCACCCCCCCCCTCCCTCTTGTATGGTATTGAAGTCTAAAACATCAATTGGTATCAGAGCGGGTTATCCTTGAAGAGGCTAACACCTTAGGAACAGATCAAGATGAGTGCACAACCTGGAAGCTGGGAAGGGCAATTCACTGCTAGGCCTCCACTCTTTAATGGCCAGTACTATTCCTGCTGGAAGAACAGGATGAGGGACCACATAATAGGAGAAGACTATAAACTCTGGGACATAGTTTCTGATGGTCCCCTGGCTACTACAAAGAAGAATGCTGAAGGAGTGGACGTGCCAAAGACAAGAGTTGACTGTACTGCTGAAGATTTGAAGAAATGAGAAAAGAATGCCAAGACCAAGAAATGGCTTGTGTGTGGACTAGGTCCAGACAAGTATAGCAAGATTCAAAGTTATACCATTGCTAAGGAGATATGGGACAACCTATAAGTGGCCCATGAAGGAACTCCTCAAGTAAAGAGATCAAAAGGAACACTGCTATATTCTCAATATGAGAATTTCATCATGAAGGAAGGAGAAACCATCCAAGAGATGTATACAAGGTTCACAACACTAACAAATGAACTTAAGTCTCTTGTAAGAATTATCCTTGAAGAAGACAAGGTTGAGAAAATCCTGACAAGGG